ACAAGTAAACTCGGAGATACTTATCAAAAAACGAGAAAATGAACCATTAGAATTTAACGTACATTAAACTATGCGATACAAGTCAAACAAAATGCCTCATCATCTCGACACTTGACAAGATAAAAAAAATGTTTAATTGAAATAAGAAACGATATAAAGCGGAACATTGCAAAAAAAATAGCAGGATAGTCACATGTGTGACATGACAAAATTTCAAATATTCTGTAGAAATCACAGAAAAAAGAGATGCATCGTAGGAAATTTAATTATCGCGTGTTTATTTCGATCGCGGTCGGATTTAATTCGCAAACAACTATGCAGATTTATAATCCAAGTGTTTCACATTTGAAACTCTCAAATTTAATGTCGGCGGTTCTGCGAAACTCAAACTCCATAAATTATGCAGTTTCTAAACTCGGAGAGCAGGAATAAGTGTCACCTTCACGTACGGACAACCGCATTGACTGTCGGCGGGAGAAAGAGGGAAAAATGAATAAAAATAAGAGAGCTAAATAAACAAAAATACACGCGAAGGCCAGTGTATTTTTTCGATTCCCGAGCAGGCGTAAAACCGCCAATTATGGCCAGGTGAATTTTTCAAGAGAGAGAGAGAGAGAAAGAATCTCGCGACACTCGCGAAGGAGGCGACCGAAAAACGAAGTCGTCGAAGACCCGACGCGTTGGCCTTATAAGATCGCACCTGTTTCGGATCGCCTGTACTGGATCTCCTTGCGAATCGCGACAAAGACGGGCGACCAGGGCATGTAATTACCGTGTACGTTATTTGTCGCAATTACGGGCTTAATTACTTGGCAGGGACCCACCCGCGCATTAAGACATAAACGAGCAGAGAGGAAGCTACGAGAGGCGAGATGCATCGCCGAAAATTTCGCTCTCGATTAAAATTTTATCGATATGTTATATAAAATAATAAAGTGATATTCTTATCACTTTTAAAAAAATTATAATATACTAGAAGATTAAGAAATTATACTAGAAAATTTAAAAATTATAATATACCAGAAAATGAATCGGTGCAAAAAGATTTGTAAATCTTAAATTAAAATTAAAAAGTTTCATCGACATATAAAATAATAAAGTAATATTCTTATCACTTTTAAAAAATTATAATATACTAGAAGATTAAGAAATTATACTAGAAAATTAAAAAAATATAATATACTAGAAAATGAATCGGTGCAAAAAGATATTTGTAAATCTTAAATTAAAATTAAAAAGTTTCATCGATATATAAAATAATAAAGTGATATTCTTATCACTTTTAAAAAATTATAATATACTAGAAGATTAAAAAATTATACTAGAAAATTAAAAAATTATAATATACTAGAAAATGAATCGGTGCAAAGAGATATTTGTAAATCTTAAATTAAAATTAAAAAGTTTTATCGATATATAAAATAATAAAGTGATATTCTTATCGCCTTTGAAAAATTATAATTACTGGAAAATTAATCGGTGCAAAAAGGATACTTGTAAATTTCAAATTAAAATAAAAATAATTTTAAATAAAAATATTTCACATAATTTTTGATGCTCTTTGATCATAATGTTTATAAGAAGGCGAAGCTTTGAATACAATAAATAATAAAACAAGGCTTCTTTGCGTTCGATCAGCTGTTTTTAAAAAGCAATTTTTCGACGACGACAGAGATCTTCTCGAGTTATATAAATTTGAGAAATCAAACTTTCTCGTGACCGGACCTTTGTTTCCAGATAATTCGTCCCGTCTTACCTTATTACAGCAACGAGATCGAGAGAAATATGCGCGTCGGATAAACGCTTATCTCTGACGCGCGCATGACGATTTTTCGTTTATTTCGAGGAAGGCCTTATCTGCGCCAGGGATGCGTTGCCTACAGCGAACAATAAATACCTGCGAGACAACATTCCTTCGCGATAAAATTTTTCTCATCCTTTTTTCCAGGTACATTAAACTTCCCATATTTTCAGAACGAGAGATACAACTACCTCGAAGCTTTGGAAAAAAATGGAGAGTACGGTAAATCCAGCCATAACGGGTCTTTCACACTCTATCGCGCGATCTCAAAAGTCATTTTGAATCATACTAATGATGTCGACGGAGGCGATAAAAAAGCCAACACGATCGAAGCGAAACGCGAAACTCAAAATTTGCCGGAAGCGTGAAATAAGATAGTTCGCTGGTGTGGTATTACTCGTTTTAATATTCCATATCGTGTGTTGCGTACGATACCGCGAAATAAAGTCGATGAATTGCGATCAATAATCAAGCATGCGGAGGACGTTGAATCTCCCGAAAGCGATGACACGCCCATATTTTAGATTTTCCCATTTTTTTTTACATTTTTCAACTATTTTAGATTGAGACTTTTTTGTCACTTTGCACAAAACGACGCAAAAATATGTACGAAATCGCAATCGGTTAGCTTGTCGTCGTCGATGAAATTTTCCCGATTATATCAAGACCGAATATAACTCGCGGAAAAAAAAAATATCCGAGCGATTCTCACTGATTATTCTTCTCGTTCTACGATTCATACATGACAAACATATTCGGGGAAGCACGATTAAATGACGTCACAGCTGTCGCCTGGTCCGACATATGGAGGCGTTGATTTCTTCGACGTCGATTTAAATTAATCCTCATTCACATTGAATTGCACTCGCATACGAGGCGTCTCGTCGCGTCGAATTCCAGGAGCGATCGTCCAACGAAGACGACTTTCCTCGAAGGGAAGGAGAGAGAAGTATCGTGACTTATCGTTTTATAACTGTCCTTATCTCTCGCACGCAACGCGAAATAACTTTGTGATTACTTCGCGATGCAGAAATTCCGCCAACGTCGTCTGCAACATTTCCAAACTTTCGTACAACCTTCCAAAAAAATCCCACAATTCCTTCTCGAGCTACAAATGCAATCCTTGATGCGGAAAAGGAAGAAAGGGTTATTTGCATTCGCCAATGATGGCAAAAGCTCGATCTTCGCATGCTCGTTTCCTAATAAGTACAGTACCATTATTGTTATATTGCGGCAATATTGCTGCAATATAACAACAAATATTTATAACACATGTTCAAATTACGCTGCAACGAAAACTCCAATTATGAACAGAGAGAAGGTGGCCATCGATGGTTGCCAATTCGTTCTTAAAAGTTGGAAACTTGGATGATGCAACTTCAAGTACGTCCGAGTGACCCCGACTCTACTTCGATTTTACGAAGGGAAAAAAGCGGCCGTATGCTCGCTTCCCAATAAGTACAGACCACCATCGTTATATTGCGGCAATATTGCTGCAATATAACAACAAATATTTATAACACATGTTCAAATTACGCTGCAACGAAAACTCCAATTACGAACAGAGAGAAGGTGGCCATCGATGGTTGCCAATTCGTTCTTAAAAGTTGGAAACTTGGACGATGCAACTTCAAGTACGTCCGAATGGCCGCGACTCTACTTGGATTCCACGAAGGGAAAAAAGCGGCCGTATGGACGAGTATCGCCTCCATATGCCGGCCTCGACGACGAGACCACGTCGATATGTCGTCACCGTCGACGTTGTGCATTAGGCAAGGCACCGCAAAGGCACGTTACAAGGGGAATCAATATCGTGTAAAAGCACTTACCTGGAAGCGGACGGCACACGTGCTCGCATCACGTCGATCGGCGAGGTTATGCCGGGCGGTGTACCACGTACATGTACGCCGTGCATGTGTGCGAGTGCGCGTCTCCTCTCTCTCTCTCTCTCTCTCTCTTTCTCCTGCTGTCCTCGTCCTCTCTTCTCGCTCTCGTCGATCGATCTCGTCTCGATCGACGTCACTTGTTTTCAGTCACTCGTACATACGCGTCCCGGGTCCTCGGTCCTCCCGTTTTTTTCGCTAACGAGCCCCCCCTTGCGAGAGAGGAGGGAGAGGGCGAAGCCGGTGACAGCGCGCGTGACAGCCGGAACTTTCGTCGGCTCCGATTCTCGCTCGTTCCTCGGACGCGACGTTGCTCCGTCGCCGTCTCGGCAGCGACTTCCTATCGCCTTCCGATGCCCCCGTTCCCGCCCCCGCCGGCTCGCCCGCCGCCCGCCCCCCCCCTCTGCCCGCGCGAGCGATGCGCCTCTCACCGTCGCCGCGAGAGGAAGAGCGAGAGGGAGAAAGATTCGCGATCTTTCGATCTTCGAAGGAATATACGGGATGCTCTTCCCCGGGATCGAACGCGACGAGACGCCCGTCCTTCCGCCCCCTCCCCTCGCGAACATTCGCGGCTAATTTCTCAAAGTGGAAAGGAGCCTGTGCCCAACATCTTTCCTTCTCCTTCCTCCTCTAATCCTCGCCGTCTCGCTCCCTCTCTCTCTCTCTCTCGCGATTGGGACCAGTGCAAATGGCCGCGTTTTTAACACGTCACCAAACACTTGCGATTTACTTACGTACCCCCCAAAGACACGAGTATGAATATAGCCGCGTTTATACGTATGTACCGTGTACCGCACACTTGGGGACTCGAGGTGTGAAACGGAGCAGACTCTCCGCCGGCGCCGGGGAAGGTGCACCCGTTGCACCGGTTACGAGGGGGGGGGGGGGAAGAAGCTTGAAAAAAACGTAGAAGAAAAGAGAGAAGAGTAGAAAAGTAGCCGGGGCGAAAAGAGCGAAAGCGGGGGGGAAAGAAAAACCGAGAGCGAGAGGGGAAGATTGGGAAAGCCGCGCGAAGTCGGCGGCGAGAGGGAAACCTCGCGCCGGGGAAATATCGCGCGAGTATCGACGACGTTGCCGGGCCCGAGAAGGGAGATTCGTCCCGGGCGCGGCGCGAAAATACCTCTTCCCACGAACAGCCGACGACGAACTGGCCGACCAGCCGTTGCACGGCCGCGTATCCCGCAAAACTCGCTCCGTCTCTCTCTCCGCCTCCGAATCCGCGGTGGCGCGCGGCGCTACTAACCGTTCCGCGCGAAGTTGGCCGCCGGCCGCGGCGGGGCGCGCCGAGCGCCCCAGTCCGCGCCGCGCCGGCCGGCCGGCCGGTTCGCCCCGAGCCGCGGCGGCGGCGCCCGAGGCCGCCCGAATTCGGCCGGAAGTTGGAAGCCGTCGCCTGCGCGCACGCGAGACGAGGAGGGAGAGGGGGGGAGAGAGGGGCGCGTCGGAGCTTTGTACTTTCCGCCCGTCTCATCGGGAATTCCTGCCGGAATCGCACACTGCCGCCATGGCCGATCCTTTATCCGCTCGTGCACGTACTTTGTACGTATGCACGTGCGGCGCACGAGTGTAGAATGTGTAGATGCCGATGAGCAGGTATGCGCGCATGTGTGTACGGCTCATACGAGGGCGTGTGCGTGAATCCGCACGGGCCACCGACCGCGGCTCGACCGAAATTTTCTTCGCAATTGGCGTTAAAGATCGTTGCTGGCCGGTCATGGACAAAGCCGTGGATGAAATTTCGGCTGGACGGAAGTGTAAATGAGAAAAGGGCGGCTGGGATCGAAAAGGGGGGAGATTTTATCGGGGAGAAAGAGGGGGGGGAGACATGAAAGGACACGCTGCTGCATTTTTTCGCTGCGGAATTGAAAGGGATAAAAAGTTGACGCCTCTCGTGCCTCTCTCGATTATTCGCTTCACACGTGATTCCAATAAAAATTTAAATTGACGTAAGATTAGATATTTGTCAAATATTGATATAAATTAACGCATCCGATGAGGATTGAGGAAATAACGTTTTTTTTTATCCATCTTTTCAGATGAAGAAAATGCGACGGAATGCTTCGTCAAGGACCAGAGAATCATTCTATGCTCGTCTGGTCAATTTTATGCGTTCGTCGGCCAGTCTCGAGAATCATCGCTGCAGTCACGTGTAATTTTAGACGAAAATTTCGAGAAAACGAGCGCGATTTTCGCGAACGCTCCTCGCTCTTCGGGGATCCTCCACCAAACTTCCCGTATGACATGAAACATTGGAGCAACATTGCGGCAATATTGCTCCAATATTGCAGCAAAATTGCAATGTTGCTCCAATATTGCTCCAATGTTTTGACCTGTATGGACTTTGCATCATATCTCGTAAGCTCGCGCTTGCTCGTGACAGAACGAGTGATAACGCGCTTAAATTGTTCCGCGAAAATGCCCGTGTCTTTTTTTTCACATGTACATTTTTGACATGCTTTCCTCGTTCCGAGAGTGCAATATCGAACGTTTAATGCCCTACCCGCATCTCGGGATGTATCGCGTGACGGTAAAGTATCTGGGACAATGCGTTCTCTCTCTTTCCCTCTTGTTTTCTAGTCGAGAGTTGCGGACAAATATGGAGTTTGTGCATAAGAAATAGCGCCGATGATAATGGGTGTCCTGTCATCATCAGTTCGCAACGCACGAAAGGAGTTACGTTTTTAGCATTGATTTTATGTATCCTCGTAGTGCCCGAGGGATGCGTGAACGTTCTCGTGTAGAAAAATTATAAATCCACACAGAAAAAAAGGACATTCTTGTTTTGAAAATATATTTAATTTTAACATGGAAATGAGATTATATTGCGTTAATTAAAGAAAAATATAATTGATTGAATGAAGCCATTTTATATAGCTCAATAAAGAAAAATATATTCTTATGATTTAAGATTTAATATTCTTGAATGGAAAAGAAACAATGTTAGATAACATTTTTAAATTAAAGATTCTAATTTTCTTAAAGTAGAATTAAATAATTCTACATTCTTGCAGTGACAATAATATTAAAATAAGACGATAATATTGTTGAAATTTAAAATTATTAAATTCCTTTAAGAAGATTATAAATTATTGCGTATATACGAAACAATGAACGCGTTAGTTTAAGTATACGAGTTTTGAGATTTGACACTTATTTTTTTTCTGTGCATAAAAAAGAATTCCGAATAGAATTAAAATCTCGAAGCGTATATACTCGATACGATGATTGAAATACTCTCTTTATTCCCGGAGCGTTATTTATATCTGATAATAATTTTTGCAGGAATTAGAAATGCGGAGGAGACGAGACAAATATAGAGGGTGTCCCAGATTCATCGCAGTTCCTTTCACGTGCTATTCACGATCGGTTCTTCGAGCGGCTCCCATATTAGGTACATAAATCAGCGCCTGCTTTCTTCAAGTGTGGTCTGCGAGCCGTCTTTTACGTAACCGCGGATCGGCATCTCGATCTATTTCTCGATTCGACGTAGCGATCGTCTCACGCATAAGCCGTACGTACACATGACCGTGATATAACCACGCACCTTGTGTCTTACGCGATCTTGTGCAATTGCAGATAGACATCCCAGCGCCACCTTCGTGTCCTGCAAATTCTAACGTCTGCGAGGGCAGCGCGCAAACACGTTTTCGCAATCGATATTATCCCGGGTTGAAAGGACGAGGATACGCAAAAAGGATTCTCCTCTGATCGGGGAACCGAGAGAAGGAGAGGTACAAGAGACAAAGTCGAATGCAAATGCGACTAATAATATGCGAGAAACGTTATAAAGGCACTCGACGTCAAAGGGTACGGGGGCGGGTACTTTAAGCGGCTGCATTTAGAACCAAGAACGTCGGTCCCTCTCCCCTCTTCCTCCCCCTCTCTCCCTCTTCCCTCCTTTTTTTCTCCGTCTCGCTCCGGCAGAGTCGCATCGAGCCGTCCGTTAACAAGACGGCCGATAAACTCTTGACGATTTTAGTTATGCATCCTGGCGAGTGCCCGGGCACAAAGAAGATTCTCTCGATTCCGGTCGCTACTCGGCTCCACTCGGCCCTAACAAGATATCCGACCTCTTGGTTTATTTGCACGCGGAGAGCGGAGAATTACCGGGGCGATCAAATAAATTCAGCCGCCCTTCCCGCGGAGGTTCTGCGCTTCGAAACTGCTTAGCGCACAAGTTGGAGTTGAAAATTGTTTAATTATCGTGAAATCGATGACGGATGCGGAATCTGTGGCTGACGATACATCCGCAGCTTTCTCGTTTCTCTCTTTCCTCGGCGTATTCTTATATTTGACTACATGGATGATACGATAAAAGCTATCGGAAAGCGCTTTACGTGCTTGCGTGACACGAGCAGAGATTTTCAAAGTCAGTTAAAAGACACGTCAATGACTTGTGAAAGATAGCACAGAACACACGACAGCTATGATAATGCATGTCACTCACTTATCTTTCTCTAACCCTCTCCTGCGGACATTTAGAGTCTCCTTATACAAATATTGAACCTTTCTCGAGAAAGAAATATAAAAAGAAATGTGAAAATTTCTCTTGCGAACGGGCGGTTAATGAATCAGCATTAAAGATAAACTTTAATTTCGTCAAATAAAAAAGTCGACTTTGAACATTTCAAGAGGGAATGATGTATATTGTTTAGTCTTATATGGTTCAATATTTTTTGAGGGAAAAAAATGATGAGTCGCACAACCGAATGAAAAAAAAGCCACGAGGAAATTTCCCAACAGCCGGTAGATGCTCCAGGGAAATCAAAAGTCTGCGGATGTGATCGATACGAAAATTTGACCAATAAAAAACGTACGACGGAGCTTTACGAATTTCGTCCGATATCGTCACGCGGCGCATACGATGCGTTTTTGTTTCGTGATCAGAGCCATTTCGAATCGCGGAAGATTGATAGTATTTAATGGGTTCAAACAGCTGCAACGGCGCGAAATTAAATTCCCGGCCGTATCGCTCGTTAACAGGAATTTAATGGCGATCCGTCGAATATGTATATACAGAATTATTCATTGCGCGACGATATGAAATTGGAAGAGATAGAGTAAGAAATAGATAGATAGATAGATAGATAGAGAGAGAGAATCAGAGGCGGCAGATCGAGTCTTGCACGTAATTTCATTCGAGAGCCAACTAAATCTTGTAATTTGAGACCAGGTAGCATCGTTTAACGTGTATGAACTACGGCGGCAGAGATGCAGAGATGTCAAGTGGAGAGGGCGAAAGGACTCTACGTGGACAGTTGACAGGAAGCAAAAGGAATGTAGGAAGAGAGACGGAGGAAGAAGGAAAAGATAGAAGATGGAACAGACTGGCAGAGAAGATAAGATGCGACTACGAGAGTGGAGAGATGAGATAAGACAAGACATGGTTGTATACCAAAGATGTGTCATAGAGGTAGAGAGACAGAGAAAGAGAGAAATAGGAACGGAATAGGGACGAGAAAGGAGAAGGGGAGAGAGAGATTAGGATTCTTGAGCCAACGAACAAACGAATAGTTCGTCTACTATCGCTTTTATCGTCGAGATTTGCTTACTGTCGTACAACTCGTTTGCCATCGCGTCATGCTCTCGATGTCCAGTGCGATTATTATCGCATTGACATCACCCATTATACATTATGCTCGCAAACGTCACAGTACATTCGCAATGGTTGTCTCGCGTCTTCCTACATAAAAATTATTAAAAGAATCACATCCTATTTATATTCCCATCTCTCCTTCCTTCTTCTTTACTTAAGAACGTAGATGAAACGTGAATGAAAAAAATTTCTAGAAAGAGAAAGACATAGAGGGGAAAGAAATTTAGGGATGCAGGTCCATCATCCTGCTGAGATGAAACGCATGATAATTTGATACGAGAAGAGATATTACGCGCGCGGCGAATCCGTGAAACTGTTTATATTAAGCTTCGATATCAGAAGTGGCGGAGAGCAGATATATCCACTATTCTACCACGAATGATTGAGCAATTGCATCGGGAAACACACTGTAGCGTACGTGCTCTATCTGCTTTCATAGACTTTGCGGTTGCAGATATAGGAAGTGAAATCAAGTGTCGCGAGAAGCTAGGATAATATTAGTACCAAGTCCTTATCAGTGAATAACGAGAGATGTAAGCGACCGGTTCTCTAACAAGCCCATTGAAAATACCGGAGATGTTACTCTCTGATTCTATCCCCATCTCCTTCTCTTTCTCTCTCTTTCTCTCTCTTATAAATGCGCGCTATTTATACATCCGTATATAAGTGTGCCGACACACACCGTATGCCTGAAATTTTAATGCCGAGAAATACATTCGTCGACTCGTATACGCCGAGCTATATCCGACCTAGAACTATATCGCGCGTATCGCGACCGAGGGCAAGAGAAGGGTGAGATGCAGTGGAATAGTTGTATGGTGTTCACAGAATATGATAACAAATATATGAAACATCAGGCTGATAAACGAATTCCTTCTTTTTTCTATTTTTTCAGAGCCATATGAAGAAGCAAAGTGTATTATACTAAAAATAGGACTGACTAGAGAACTGAAGAAGGATTGAATAAAAAAATGTATTAGTCAGAAGAATTGCCAATCAAATCAATAACAAGTAATAATAAAAACATTGAATTTTGATTCTTCAAAATAGCCTCTCTTTGCTTTCAATATTGCTATACTCTTGTTACTGATATTTGAGTTCAGTTATTTTTGCATAATAGATCTCATTTTTCAAATACTTGTATCAAGTTTATCTCACAATAATTCCATCATATTAATATCCGATTGAGAGGAGGCTATTTTAAGGATGCGAAAATTTAATATTTTTGTTATTACTTGTTGTAATTTTTACGATATTTTTTAAAGCATAAAATGACATTAATAAAATAGTAACAGCTTTCCTGCTTTTACAAGTGATGCAATACTTTTGACTGGTACTGTACATATATTTTTAGGGCGAAATCGTTAGATATTATTTTATTTTCGCATAATGAATGATAATTAATCGATTATGGCGCAGCAATTTGACTTTTGCGGAATATTTTAAAGAAGAGCGGACAAGAAGGACGGGAAAGGGAATCTAGATGCACAGAGATCCTTTTTGAGCGAAATTCTTTTTCCAGCGCCGACGTGGAAATTAATTCGCAGACCTCGTGCATATAGCCTCGCGTGGCTGAACCGTCCGCGCCGGTCGTGTGGTATGCCGCATACGATCGATAATCGACACACTATCGGGCTGCCGACCCAAATGGAAATTTTATATCGGGCTAGCTTGGCGACCGATCAAACGCGGATCGTATCTACTTTGTCGCCCGCGACGATATTGAAGATTATAAATTATTGCGTCGAAATACATGCTAATTAACTTTGTCATTTCAGCTCCTTCTCCCTATCAAACTGTCATTGAATGACGTCATCGGGGAGAGCAAATCGTTGGAGCGTTAACGCGAAGAAGCGACAAGAGAGACGCAGACAAGTTCAAGAACAATCTACTTGGAAACTTCTTCGCGGGATTATTCGAGGGACCTAGATTTTCGGAATACACGTGTTTCCGGTAAACGAATCTTCCAATTCGATTCGACGTGTATGCTCGATTGGTTGACACGCTTTCGAGAGAATCGCCTTATTGATTAGACGCGCGGCAGGCGGCCAAGTGTAAACCTCGCAATGGCTGATTATTCGCTCGGCATTACCAGGTGTATCAAATGCTAATGCGCGGCGAAGCAAGGTACTCGAGCATCTGCTTAAGCGGCCCTTCGCGAGCGTCTCTCACTTGGGGCCCAATCTCCCATCGCACATTTCAACGACTCAATTCGCGGTTGCACAATCGCCTCCGACTTCGTCTGCTTATCGTCCGATTTATTCGACGATCTTGATATTCATTCTGAATCGAAAATGAATCCCAGATTAATGTGGCGCATGAATCTTATATTGGTTTTAATCCCGGTTCCCATTAAAAGAAATACCAAATATGCAGTACAATCGGATTATCTCGCGTACGCAAACCAGTTTCAAATTCAATTAAAACTATGGAATTCAACTCGTATCGAATTTTTTGTAATAAGTAGAGAACAAAAGTAATTATTGGAGTAAAATAAAATTACATTAATATGAAGCTCCGATAGCTCATAAGTTTTCGTCAAGTGTCAAAATTCATATTTTTCTCAGAAGGATGAACGTTTTACATTTTTTATCCAAATATATGAAAGAAGTTATATTTCTCCTCGGGATGCACGGGAACAAGCAAAACCACTTTCGGATAACGCGAGCTTTTCGCCTTTCCTCGTTTTCTGTTTATTACTTTTTCTATCGTTAAAACGTATACTCTCTCGAGCAATATTTATATCCTTCTAGCGCGACTTCTCTTTTGCATTTCGCGACGTGTATAACGTAGGGAACGACTATCCGTCCGTCTCCCCCGCTCACCCTGCGCGCTTTCGTTCTCGCCTCTCCCTCGAAACGACTATAGAGACTATTCGCATCGGCCATATCAGCCGGTGCCAATAACGTACCGGGCAGATGGGAGATGTGGTGAGGACCGGGTGGTTGTTGGACCGACCGTCGAACGGACGGGGGTGGCGGGGACAGCCGGGGGGTGCTTTACCATCCGCAGACTCGTATTCATCGATCACCGCGCCCGGATAATTATAGCGTTTCGCCAAACTCGCGCTCCTCGAAAGGCCGATGATCGCGATTACGCTCTGAGAATGAAATTATACATGTATTCTCGCGAAACACTTTTGTATTTTTTGCAATTTTAACGAAAATTTCCGGAATTTTCATGAGAAAAAGTCAATCGATGAAAATATACACAGAGTGTTTCTTAATAAGTGCGAAAAATTTCAAGAGATGATTCTTTGTCGAAAATTAAGGAGGGTTTTTATATAAACATATACTCCTGCATCCCTTCCTGTGAGTTGCGTTCTTCCAAAAATGGGGATAAAATTAGGTTTTTAGGTTTTTATTATAATTTTGTTTTTGTTCCAATTTTCGCAACATTTACTCTAATTTTATTTTTATTTTAAAATTTAACTTCTCGTAATTCGAAACCTATTTAGCATCGTGCTATGTACGTATTTTATTAATTTTTTTAAAGCTACTGATTTTATGAAAAAAATAAAACAAATAAAGTTTCTAAATAAATCAAATTTTTAATACATATTTTTAGATGATTATATTCCGGTCTATTAAAAAATTCGAATAAAAAATTGAATAGGGATTGTTAGTTTCAGCCTCTTATAATAATACGAGAAGCTGAAAAAAATATTAATAAATTTATCTTTTTACTAATAGAAAATGTTCACCAAATTTCATTTCTTTAACTTGTTCCAAATTTGAGAAAAAAATAAAAACTAATTTTTACCTCCATTTTTGGAGGAGTGTAACTCCACAGGGAGGAATCTAGGAGTATACGTTTATATGAAAACCCCTCCTTAATTTTCGACAAAGAATCATCTCCTAAAATTTTTCGCACTTATTAAGAAACACCCTGTATTCCAATCGATCTTTTCATCTCGACGCTTGCAAATTTTATTTTATTTCCTTATAGTCTTTGTTGCAAGAATTTAAATTTTGCACTTTTCTTTAACCGTTCTTAGATTTACAATTAATATAGAAGAATTAACGTGCGGCACACTTTCTAACTTTCGCAACCAACGCTTTTAAGCCGACTGACTGGGGGAGACCGATCGTAAAAGAAAGGAAGGAGAAGGGAAAAAAAACGCAGGGTGCGCGTTTAAAGCGGTACCATTGACTGGCATTTTCGCAGTAGTCAGTGGCGGAATTCAAAGTCAAGTACATGGACCTTTGTCCGCTTAATTTGTCGTGCAGCTGAGCGTAATGATCGCGCTTGCCTTTGAACCATACGGTATGTGAAAACGCTGCCGTCGTCGCGTCGGGAACGCACATTTCCACACTTGTACGCATAACCGATGTGCGTAAAACGAAAGGGAAAAGAAGCGCGTGTACACCACGTGTACATCTTTGTATGTAAAAACAAGTCTTTTCGCAGTGTTGCATTTTCGCGAAACAGTAGCACATTTAACAATAAGTTAAGATACGTGACACTTGATTAGTCTCTGATATAGTCGTTGAAAATAATAAGAGAGCGAATTATTATACTTTTTTTGATATCTAAAATAATTATGTATATTATTCATACGTGGAATAAGATTAATATTTTTCTTTTGACGAATTCATGATTTTTCTTGTAAATATATATTTTCCTGTTGCCATTTCTTGGAAAAAAAAATGATAAAATTCTTAACGTTTCCCACGTTTGATGAATCCTAAGAATAATTAGATATTAAAATCCTCAATATAATATCTCTAAGATACAATTATTATATTGATTATAGCATAAAAAAGGAAGATTCGAAAGCAACAGATATATCATAAAATTAAATCATTAAAATTAATTAATTTGATTGCCAATATAAAGTGTGACTGGCAAAGTCATTCCGACGACGATGGCTCGCGAATGAAGAGCACGCTAATATTTCGCGAACGCATTCGCCCTACGTTAGGCCACGTGACAAGCTTTAAGCGTGATTCACGTGAATTGAGAAGAAAACTTGGCATTACTTGGCGAATTCATTGCAACAATGGCAAAGCCCGAGAACTCCCACATGTTAATTTCACCGACGCGTCTAGAGTCCTTGGAAATCTATAATTACGCGCCGTTGGAAGTGAAAGAAATTCCTGGCAGGCCAGCGTCCATTGTTGTTGCATCGGGCCAATTCTTTGTCCGAGACTCAAGCCTTCTCGATCGCAATTTTTCGGAAATGCCATTCACATTGCGCTCCCACTGATCATGCATCTTTCACTGCGCGTTAGAAATGCCAATTTAGCTAAATGCGTTTAGCGTTGAGAGGAAAAAAAGTCGATTAAATAATTCATGCCACCTGGACATGGTACATGGTGAATTCCCTTTCCTCTCGGGATGCGAAAATGCATCTTCTCCGAGGCCAAGTAAAATATTTAAAGAGGACGGGCAAGCGTCGAAGAGCTGTCTAGAAGAAGAGATGCGACCGATGTTTTCGCGAAGGTTGCTAGGGTTTCTAGCACTTCCACTCTAGAGGAGAGGAAAAGAAAGCCTATATAGCGCAAGGGTGAGCTTATAACGCGAGATTGGGATTCGGTTTAGCTTCTGCCCCCCCTTCGGGGGGAGTCCCCCTCAGATTCCCCGCTGAGAAGACGACTGACCAGACTTACCCGGCGACGATTTTTATTGCTCGTCGCCCGCAGAGTCCCGTCGTTCTCCTCCGCAGAAACTTTCTACGTCAAGAATGCCACCCACAATTCACCATGTTAATCATCGAACGCCCGCTTCTTTCGCTCCTCGTTTAATTCCGACCTACACCAGCGATTTGTCTTTATTCTGTGTAAAATCGCACGAGGGAAACGTGCGAGGATTTTTAATTTTGATAAAATAAAAAAATGCAAGCGTGCATTATTTAAACAATC